TTGCTTTTAACAAATATAATGGATTATTTATTTATTTCATCATTTATTTAACATTAGTTTGATAAGAGCAGGAAACATGACTGTTTTATTCTTCTTTAAATCCATTTGTCTGGCACAGTGCTGGGCTAGTGGACTCACTAGCCCTCTCTAAGTATTTACCCTCTCTGGAAGACGTATTTGTGAACTTTGTGAATTGTTCTTTTTTCCCTTTTCTCTGTGATTATGCTTGTCCTTCAGGTTCTGTTTTTTATCTTCTCATGGTTTTAGCTTCTTTACTCTCAAGATGACTCCCAGTCAACATTACAAGCCCTGGGTCTTCTAAGAAAAAGTGATCTCTGAAAATTAGCTTCTCCTTTCCTCCTTAGTTTTCCAAGGAGAATGCATTCTCTCAAAATTCCAGTTCACAGTTCTTCCCCACCCCCACCCCCAGGACAGCCTCCAAGCCTGCACTAACCTCCCAATCAGTTATTAGGACCTTTGAATCCTCTTGTTCATCTTTCTTGCCATCTTAGTTCATGTAAATAACATTTTATAGAGATTTGCAATGCACAAGCTGCCCAACCACAGGGGATTTATTTTCTTCCTGTCTCTGAGATCTCACTTCTGTCCTTGTCTCATCCCCCAGAACTTTGAGAAGCTTCTTAATTCATAAACCTACCCCCATCCTTCCAGCAGAATTTGCCAAAATTTCATATTTTTTCTGTTGAAAAGGCCTTTAGGACATCTTATCCTTCTGACTTTGTAAATAAAGGAACATAGGTACAAAAAGTGGCAGACTTATCACTAAACCCAAGGCCTTCTTTCTTATGCTTGTACCCCACACTATGCTCAGAAAGTCTCATGGCTTCCTCTCCTGCATGTAAAAGACAAATTTTTTTGCTAGCCATCCACAGGAGTCTTTGTTTAATCAGGAGGTTACTTAACTCTCCATTCTTTGAACTCCTTACATTATATATTTATATATGGGGATCTTTGTTCTTTTTGTTTATCCTACCTACACCATCTTTCTCTGTTGTAGACCTTGTGTTTTGAAACCCAAAACATGCCTGATTGTGTACTTTAATACATTTTGTTGTTAAATGACTAATTAAAACATTTAACTTAATCATATTTCTCTATACTGAATATGGCTAAATTTCCTTTGATAGATGTCAATAAATATCCACTACCATATTCTGAGGTTTGTACCAAAAAGGAAAATATTGAAAGACATTCATTTGATGTGTTCAACTCTCAAAAAGCAGTGATTTCTTAACGGTTGGCAATTTCAGCTCTATTACTCGCTCTGTTGGGAAACGGTGCACTTGATCTCTTGATCTCCTCAAATGACCTCCTCTACCTTCTCAAAGTAGACATCAATCCTGATCCTCTCTGACTTGAAGATTGGTAAATAGAGATTAATGAGAAAGAAAAGAAATGTGGAAGTAATAGGTTGAATAAGAAAGGCTAGAAAGTACTAGATGAGAATGAATTTGCAATATGGCCTCAACGAAAGATACAGGTTAGAGAGTATGACCCAGGTTTTACTTCTCAAAAGAGAATTTGTATTATAAGCATTATTAAAAATACAAATTGAATCCAAGAGTGATCTTAACATTTGGATCCTGGCCACTAAGGCTGGCAAACAATATCTAACAGCATAAAATAATTAGAAAGTCAATTTTTTTTAAATAAAATGAAGATTTGTTGGCCCATAACTTGCTCAATGAACACATTAACCTTTATTATGGACTCAGCTCCACTCCTTTTGAATGTGATCTGAGAAAGAATTTTTAGAGATCTCCATAGAAATAAAGTTTATTGTTAAAAAGATATAAGTTGACTTGCAAATTTAGACTGATAACATAAACAGCAAACACAAAGTCTTAAATTAAGCAGTTAATTGCTTATCCATTGTTGATATCTTACTATTATATTTGGGAGATATCCCAGGATGTTAAGTTTTGAAGGCCTGTGTAGTCTTTAACTTGATCTTTAAAAACAACAGAATTTAAGTGAATGTCAATAAAACCAGTGAATTATAAATATCCTCTCTTCCAGCATATTTGACCAGAGCTGTCAGTAAACAAAACTGTACTTCCTAGGATTTCAGGCACGAATACTAATCTATGTATTTTAATTTAATACTTTACCAGAGGATCCCAGGATAATATGAATAATTTGGACATCTGTTGAGTTATTTTTAGAGTGAAACTAGGCACCTGCACATTTCAGGAAATGAAATAAAATTCTTAATGTATTTGCATTAAAATATTGCTTATAGATATGACTAGGATGAATTTTTTTACACAAAATTCCTAGTTATCTGAATTAACTACTATGCACAGCATCATTTGATCCTTTCCTTGTCCCTCCCTCGCACATTAACTGCTATTTCCGTGGCAAAATTGATTCTTGCTACATAATGCATGTATTTCTACTCCTTTTTCCCCAAACAACCTAAAACCACTAAACTAAATAAAGTGGCAGAGTGTCACCCAATACTGCAGCTGTGATCTTCTCTCCCAAAGCATGATGATAAAGACTAAGCTACAAGAAAAAGCAGAAATTCTGTGGTGAGAAGAGCTCTCCTTATACTACCCCTCCAAACCAAATTATAAAGCAAATTCTATAGGAGTGTAGCCCCTAAATTGGTCTCTCTGAGCTGACACCACCCATGCACCAGCTAGGGTGTCATCTAGACAGGCAAAAGTGCGAGGATGGACAAAAGGGAGATGAGTCTGTGATGTTATTGATTACAGGTCCCAGAGGAAGAGATGGTCTGTGAACTCTCTTAAGAGAGCAATGCCAGAGGAGAATATATTTCATTTAGAGGCCCGAGGGGAAGCAAACAGTCATACAAAGAAGCAACAACAACAGTAAGAGAACAACAAAATCCAAGACCCACACTGTTGTTAGGGTTTAGGACAGGAACAGGGTAGAATCCTATTGTCAGCAAGTAAGTTTTGTGCTCTTTCAACATTCTAAAACCATGCCTTCAGAAATTGGATGTTGTTACTCCAAACTGGGGCGTGCATTTGTAAAAGTAAGTTTGTAACATTATACACCTTTTAAAGCTGCAGCGGAGTGCTAAATAACGGAGGAATTTTGTTCAAAAGCAATATTTATTTTTCATGAAGATAAGAGGCATATTTCATTTCCTGTGAGGGGAAAAAAGCTGCATGTTACCAATATGACAAAAATAAAAATTCTACTTTTGAAAGTGTTTTTCCTATAAGAACATATCGAAGGAAAGGCATTATTTCAGGTGGACTTATTAGAGTTTGTTCTGAAATGTAATTTTTATAGTGAGTTTTTTATTCCTTTGATGGCAATGAAACAGATTTATTGACTACATGGTGGAAGTGCAATAGGTAACAGATAACCAAGAGAGAAGTCTTAATAAAACACTGAGGAAAGAAAAAACCATGAGTGAATATGCCTGCTTACATTTCATTCAGCTAATAAAGAAAAAGTACAGATAGGGCTTTAACTGAAAACCATCCTGGTTATTGCAACCTGGAAGGTTTATTGAAATTTGGGTAGAACATTCTAATTTTTCATACTTACAGATATGACATAAGCTGAACAGTTAGCATGATGCAACATATTTTGATTTTGGTACAGGAATCAGATATTTTCATAGGAAACTTGCAAATGGTCATGAAAGGGAAGAGTGTTCCTGATTATTACATTGTCTGTCTCAACCATTTCTGATTGCACTTGGGGATTCTGGATAACCAAAAAAATCTCTATTTAATTTTATCACTCACCCCCCTGTGGTAAAAAAACACTGGACACTTTTAGGGAAGTTTTGAAGGTATGTCTTCAATAAGCATTGACTTCCATCTCAAAGAACTGAGAAGAAATGTGCTAAGTATAGTTGAGAATTTGGTCCTGAGAGCACCATGCTTAGAAATCCTAGAATACTGTGGCCACTCATCTGACATGGGGACTGAACACGCTCCTGACACATACCCCTCACTCAAATCGGTTTTAGTCAATAGGGCCCTGGACTCATGGAAGAAATTGGCTTTCCTTTCTTCTTTCAAGGCAGAAAGAAAAACGCAGTTTTCTCTGAGCAGCCCTGGAGCTATCTTGATTTCAGTGTTGCTCTCTTAAGAGTCTTGCTTTGGTGGATGATGAATCACTTCCTACTCCTGGAGTCAGTCTCCTTTAAAACAGACAGACAGCAAGGAGCCAGAGAGGAAAATTACTCTAAATACCAATGATAACCATCAATGCAAAAGCAGTTCTCCAGCGCTAGAGCAGAGCCAAACTTGCGCACTCACTATTTGCAGTGCGTCTTCTTAAAACAAGCTCCAAGATTTGGAAAAGAACTAGAGACCCCAGATCTGATTTCACGTTCAGAAACAGGGAATCAGAGATGGTGAGTGACTTCATGATTAGGGATTTACATCAATAAATTTGGGTTGTTTCAATACACAAAAGTTTTCAGGCTATAAATAGTCCATGACGGCTTGTCAAATATAAAATGCCATTGTAAATCCATGTCTGTATATCAAAGAGACGGGAACACAAAAGCAAAACACATAAAATTAATCAGCATAGGCTGGAGAGTTCAAATCCATTATTAACTATGGATCCTAACAAATATTCCATTCAATTTCCAGTTAGGTTAATATTTCAATGCTTAATTTTCTGACTTTACTCTGACCAAATCTTTCAATGAGTAGTGTTCTGAAAGGCTCGTGCAAAGCACCTAAGCCCTTCTCCAAAGAAGCTACTTCCATGGATGGTTTTTTGAAACAATTAAAATTAAAGCTTAAAAATTGTCTTCTGTAGGATTATAATAATAAATCTTCTGAGAAAAATAAATCGAGACTGATGTTATATGAATTTGAATGCCTCAGCGAGACGCAGAAAAAGACTTAATGACTTAATTTCTAAAGCACCTATATTATTATGGCATGCTTTTGAAGACAGGTAATTATTGTCTACATAGGTAAACATGTAGTGTATTTCATGGAAAAAAAATGGTTTGGTTTGTGCCTTCTCCCTAGAAACCATGTCTTTCCTTTTTTTAGAATTAAGATGTATCTATAAAAAAGCTCATCTATTGATTTTTAATGTATAAGGTGCTTTCTTTAAACGAGAAAGATCCAAAATTGTTTTGTGACTCAAAATTTAAAAATAAATTAATCTTCCAAATATTCCAAAGACATGTCTCATGTATTTAATATGTCTCTTACTTTATCAAAAGATGTTAAGGATCTAAATGACTCAAACTTATTGTAAGCTGTGGTGTACCTGGTTATATATACTGATAAACCACTTGATCTGTTTACAGAGAGACATGGATATATCCTCAGATGCTATTATTAAATGCAATCCTATATTTTTGGATATAGAGGTTGATGATACAACTTTCTATTTGCCATGGCACTAACAAAGCTAGGCTGAAACTCAGTGACCACTTGTATTTATTGCTTTGCAGTCTAATGGTAAGTTCGTTTGCTGGCGGGAAAAGGATCTCTTACCACACCCTCCTTAAACTAAAAGATCTTTCATGCTTAATGTATGTGCACATTCATTTATCGAGGTGGTCTGGAGCTGCAGATACAGTCGCACCGCTCATGGTGATCCAGCTGGATGTCAACGAGAGCCATGTAATTCGATCTATTCGATCTGCCCCTCCTCCTGAAATGGCCAGGCTCAAACTTTAATACCTAGTAGAATAAATGTATTTCTGGTTAGAAAACCAATAGAGTACAACTCAATAGATACCACTTATTTTTTTTTTTGTGACAACTTGTTCTTAGCCCTTTGAGAATCCTCTTTAGAATACATGCATGTAAATATTTTTAAAATCATCAACTTCTTGAAGTGGAGGGATCAATTCATCACAGAGTAATGCCTTCTGCATTACCTACCTGCAGTACCAAGATGACCTCAGGTGTCCTAGCAGGTATTTACTGATAGCTTCCTAAGAGCCCTGCTTTGTCCCATGTGCTGTCCCAAATACTGTCATAATTATTCTTCTGCCCAAGCATAGGTTATGGATAAATAACAACACTGAGCATGGTATTATTTCTGTAGACAGTGCAATGAATAAAGTCATGAACATAATATGCTGGTATGGCTGAATTCTTTAACTGATGTAAAATACTTTGCCCTAATGAAGTTCATTAGTACCTAGTCACAAATAAATGAAGATGTGTTTATGTTTTTACATATATATAAATATATCATTCCTTTTCTAATTCAAAACAGATCTGACTCTACTAAAATCTTTGTAAGTTAACATTTGTGCATCAACACAGCATTTCTTAAATTAATAAAATGAATCCTTGGTTGTTTAAGTTAATAAGTTTAAATATAACTGTTTTTTAAATTAGTAAGCTTAATAGAAGCTAATTCTTCTTTCCTGCTGTGGCCTTCACTGAAGTCAAGCATTAGTCATCACATGCTTGGAAAATTATATACTTATTCTTACATATACTATATGGTTAGTTTAATTGCTTCTCTCCTTTATGTTCTTAGCTTTCACTTTTGATTTTGTTCTATTTTCCTCTTAGACTCTAAACTCTGTCATACCACACCATATAATTATGTGTTATTTTGCAGTTTCCAAAGAATTTGCACAGATGCACTACTTTTTTTGCCCTCACAAAAACCTCATCATCTTATAGATTAGAGAATTGAGACTTTAAAGGGGGCTAAGAGTCTTTTGGAGACTTGGACCTGGGAATGGGGCTTTTTCATCTAGGCTCCTAGAACACTCTGACCCAATGGCTCTACAATGCGCCTATGATTTTCTTCGGTGGCTCAAAGGTGACTGTGGTCCCAAGTGAGAGCTAGAGAGGAGACTAGGTATACTTGGTCCTGTTTGAAGGTTAGATGTAGTGAAAACTTGCTTTCACATCTCCGTGACTTTTCATGGCATCCCCACAATCATTTACAGTGGATTATATTCCCAGCAGTTTTCTTATCCACACATTACCTGTTTCAAGTCACAAAGACACCAAAACCATCTCCTAGGAAATATTGACCCAGAGTTCTCAGAACTCATGCATCATGGTACACCCTTTACTTTAGCATCTAGCTATGCTGTTCCATGGTAGTTCCAGCAGGGAGAATAACTCACCGGCTTCATTCAACATTCAGTTAAGCTAGGGAGCCTGGACTCTATAGAGTGGAACATGGAGGCTTGTTTGTAGCAGAGCTTTAAAGGAATATATATATGAGGACAAAGTCTGGGAAGAGAAGAACCCCCTAAGAGAGTGTATGAGGGAAGCAAAAAGACTAAAAAGTATTTGATATTGGCATCACTAATCCAAATGCCAGTTTTTTTATTGTGTTCAATTACAGTTGTCCCATCTTTTTCCCATTGCTCTCCCCTGCCCCACTCCCTCACTCCCACAGTCAATCCCCACCCCCTTATCTGTGCCCACCAGTTGTCTGTTCATGTTCCTTGACTTGCCCTTTGCCCTTCTTTCCCCCTATATCCCGTTTCCCCTCCCCTCTGGTCACTGTCAGTTCTTTATTTCCATGTCTCTGGTTCTATTTTGTTCATTCATTTGTTTTGTTGATTAGGTTCCAGTTATAGGTGAGATCATATGATATTTGTCTTTCACCACCTGGCTTATTTCACTTAACATAATACTCTCCAGTTCCATCCATGCTGTTGTGAATAGTAGGAGTTCTTTCTTTCTGCTGTGTAGTATTCCATTGTGTAAATGTACCACAGTTTTCTGATTTTTTACTGTTGGGTATTTTCAGCATTTGGCTATTATAAATAAAGCTGCTATGAGCATAGGGAGGGATAGGTTCTTTTGAACTGGTGTTTTCAGGATTCTTAGGGTATAGTCCCAGCAGTGGGATCACTGGATCAAAAAGCAGTTCCATTTTTAGTTTTTCTGAGGAAATTCCATACTGTTTTCCACAGTGGCTGCACCAGCCTGCATTCCTATCAACACTGTACTAGATTCCCCTTTCTCTACAACTTTGCCAGCACTTGTTGTTTATTGATTTGCTAATGGTAGCTCCTCTGAACAGTGTGAAGTGGTATCTCATTGCAGTTATAATTTGCATCTCTCTGATGACTAGTGATGTTGAGCATTTTTTCATGTATCTATGAGCCCTTTTTATGTACTCCTTGGAGAAGTGTCTGTTCAGATCCTTTGTCCATTTTTTTAATTGGGTTGTTTATCTTCTTGGTGTGGAGTTGTGTGAGTTCTTTATATACTTTGGAGATCAAAATATTGTCAAATATATCATTGGCAAATATGTTTTCCCATGCAACTGGAAACATTTTCATTTTGTTGATGTTTTCTTTAGCAGTGAAGAAGCTTTTTAATTTGATGTAGTCCCATTTGTTTATTCTTTCCTTTATATCTCTTGCCCTAGGGGATGTATCAGTGAAAATATCACTGTGTGGGATATCTGAAATTTCCCTGCCTATGTTCTCCTCTAGGACTTTTATGATGTCATGTCTTATATTTAAGTCTTTCATCTACCTTGAGTTTATTTTGGTGTATGGTGTAAGCTAGTGGTCTAGTTCCATTTTTTTTGCAGGTACTTTACCAGATATCCCAACATCAATTATTTAAGAGGCTGTTTTTACTGCATTTTATGTTCCTGCCCCCTTTGTCAAATATTAATTGACCAGGGTGGCATGGGTTTATTTATGGGCTCTCTATTCTGTTCCATCGGTCTACGTGCCTGTTCTTATGCCAGTACCAGACTGTTTTGATTACAGTGGCCTTGTAATATAATTTGATATCAGGTATTGTGATCCCTCCTACTTTGTTCTTCTTTACCAAAATTGTTGAGGCAATTTGGGGTCATTATGGTTCTTTATAAAGTTTTGAAATATTTCTTCTATATCTGTGAAATATGTCATTGGTATTTTGATAGGGATTGTATTGAATCTATAGATTGCTTTGGGTAGTATGGCTATTTTAATGATGTTAATTCTTCCAGTCCATGAACATGGTATATGCTTTCATTTGTTTGTCTTGCTTCATTTCTTTCTTCCATGTTTTGTAGTTTTCTGAGTACAGATCTTTTACCTCTTGGTTAAGTTTATTCCTAGGTATTTTATTTTTCTTGTTGCTATAGTAAATCAGACTTTTTTCCTAATTTCTGTTTCTGCTATTTCTTTGTTGGTATACAAAAATGGTTTTGACTTCTGAATATTGACTTTCTATTCTACTGTTTTTGCCAAATTTGCTTATTAGGTCAAGTAATTTTATGGTGGAGCCTATAGGGTTTTTTATGTACACTATCATGTCATCTGCAAACAATGACAGTTTTACCTCCTCCTTTCCAATTTGGATGCCTTCTTTCTTTTTCTTGTCTGATCACTATGGCTAGAACTTCTAGTACTATGTTGAACAGAAGTGTTGAAAGCAGATATCCTCGTCTTGTTCCTAATCTTAGTGGGAAAGCTTTTAGTTTTTGTCTGTTGAGTATGATGTTGCCTGTAAGTTTCTCATATATGGCTTTTATTATGTTGAAGTATGCTCCCTCTACTTCTACTTTGTTGAGTGGTTTTATCATATGGGGGTGCTGTACCTTATCAAATGCATTTTTTCTCATCTATTGATATGATCATGTGGTTTTTGTCTTTCTTTTTGTTTATGTGATGTATTATATTTATTAATTTGCATATATTTTACCATCCTTGCATCCCTGTGATGAGTCCCACTTGATCATGGTGTATGATCTTTTTAATGTATTGCTGGATCTGGTTTGCCAATATTTCATTGAGGATTTTAGCATCTATGTGTGTCAGTGATATTGGCCAGTAGTTTTCTTTCTTTGTTGTGTTTTTATCTGGTTTTGGAATTAGGATAATACTGGCCTCATAAAAAGAGTTTGGGAGTCTTCCCTCTTCTTGGATTTTCTGGAATAGTTTGAGAAGGATCAGGTTAGTTAGCTCTTCCCTGATGTTTGTTAAAATTCTCCTCTGTAGCTGTCTGATCCAGGGCATGCGTGCCAGGAATGTTTTGCTTACTGCTTCAGTTTCACTAGCTGTTATTGGTTTCTTCAGGCTTTCTGTTTCTTCTTGACTCAGTTTCGAAGGATTATATGTTTCTAGAAATTTGTCCATTTCACCCAGGTTTTCCAATTTCTTGGCACATAGTTCCTCATAGTAATTTTTTATGATCCCTTGTGGTATCAGTTGTGGTATCATTTCTGTGGTATCAGTTGTAATTTCTCCTCCTTCATTTCTGATTTTATTTATTTAGGTCCTCTCTTTTTTTCTTGATGAGTCTGTTTAAAGTCTTGTCGACTTTTTAAAATCTTTTCAAAGAATCAGCTCCTGGATATAGTGATCCTTTAGATTGTTCTTTTAGTCTCTGTGTCATTTAAATCTGCTTTTATCATTATTATTTCCTTCCTTCTACTCACTCTTGGCTTTGTTGTTCCTCTAGTTCTTGTCAATGTAGGGTTAGGTTGTTTATTTGAAATGTACCTATTTTTTTAGGTAGGCCTGTATTGCTATGAACTTCCTTCTCAGGACTGCCTCTGCCATGCCCCATGGGTTCTGGGCTGTTGTGTGTTCATTTTCATTTGTTTTCAGACACTTTTTGATTTCTTCCTTAATCTCATTGTTGACCCATTCATTGTTTAATAACATGTTATTCAGTCTCCATGGCTTTGATTGTTTTTGAGTTTTTTCCTCGAGGTTGGTTTCAAGTTACAAGCCATTGTGATCTGA